AGATCAGCCCAGAGGTTGTTTCAGGGTTCTATCTGTGAGTTAGCCATGCCCTGACTTAGATCAGCCCAGAGGTTGTTTCAGGGTTTGATCTGCGAGTTAGGCATACCCTGATTTAGATTCCAGAGCCTCTTTCAAGGTTCGAAAAACTTTGAAGCCGCTTGAGGGTTTTATTTATAAAAAGGCTTATGATATCTTGCGAAATGGTTTATTTTATTATACAACTTAAGCCTACAACCAAAACAACCTGCAAAATCATTTCGTATCCTTTCGGTTTTGCAAAACTGATATCATAAGCCGTTTTTGAAAGACGTTCCAACAGGATATTCAACTTTATAATTACGATAAAAATCAAGCAAGAAAATGCTTTAACGAACGACAGCGTAATTCTGTAATACGCATATTAAGCGAAAGATATGCTTTTTTTTTGTGCTATCTGATGGAGTACTTAGTAGAAATTAAGAACCACGATCAGTATACAAAAACAACTTTCAAAACAAGTACATTTCATTAGCATTACTGACATTTTGTTAAAAATCTGTTTTCCAATTTCAAGTGGTGAATAAAAATTGTAAACTTACATCCTAGTAAATAAAAATCTGTATAATTCTACGTCTTTGTGAAAGTAAGAATTACAATCAAGATGATAGGTAGAAGTGAGAGTTAAAAWAACGTTTCAACTCCTTTTCTTGCATGATCCGCGCTATTTCTACAAAGAAATATTAAAATTTGGATACATATACCCCTCATCTCAGTTCAGACGTGGAAGTTTTGCCGCGTCGAATCAAACAGCTGCATTAGTCGTACATGACAAAGAGCGACATCACTAATGGCCTTTTTACCGATCATGACGGCAGCCATTGTTTTAATTAAGAATTATGGGATGCCGAAAGGATAATAAGGTTTATAGGCTGGATTGCTGGGGTGTACAGTTTTTTACATTTTCAATAAGACGGACACCTAAAAAGCAATTGAATTTGCTGGTAGTTCAGGAAACTAAGTGAATCACCAAGACTTCAAATTATTTGAAAAAATAACCCCGTCACTCATGCTATATAAGTTTTTTTAAATTTCTACACAATTTTCTATAATTCGAGATGGTCGCCGGCAACAGTTTACAAAACGTTTTAAAAAACTTTTAAAGAAAACTCAAAAAAGAAAGAAAAAAATATATAAAACTTCAAAAAGTTTGACGTCTGAGCTGAGCCCGCAATAYAAGTTCTAGTCAGAGGTTATGGTATCCTAGCAACAGCATCTAAACATGGTGGATGTGCTTGGTGAAGGAAGTAAAAATTCACCAAATTGACTTTGTGACTTGAATCAAGAAATCATGGCGTTAATATCGGTCTGAAAATCCCTTAATACACTCAGATGTCAGAACAAAAGCCTTCTGGATCCATTCATGGAGAAAAGTACAGAAAAATAGCTGAAAATACGAAAGAAAATGAACACGAGAAAATTCGCTTTGTTTTGCCTGACAAACAACAAGAAAGTACTTTGGCTTTAAGAAAAAATGAATCCGATCGATCTGAGAGTGGAGAAGAAGAATCAGACTTCGTTAATGATTTGAGTATTCAGCTTGCTTTGGAGAAAAGGCAGAGACGTAAAACGATCGTAAATTCTTTCCGATTAGTTGAACTTGTACCGACTACGAGCACACCGTATTCTAGTTATAGAAGAAAGTCAATCGCGTTCACCGTACAGAGTGTYGTAGACACAAAGGCTGAAGAACAGTAAGTTTAAAGCATAACATTTTCTTATCCTGTTGTGTTTCTGTAGCTTAATGACCAGTATATTCAAGTAAATGGCGAAAAATTGCTTTAGCAAGCTGTTATATGGGTCTTTGTTTACGTTCTATGCTTGTAACTTTATCATAAATGAAGCTAATTATCGAGAGAAAACCCAGTGAAAATTAACTACAGCAATARAATAATCGCAAAAATCACTATTTTTATACAACGACTTGCCGTAAAAATAATTTTTCCTATGATTTTGATMATATTTACATTTATTTTCCTATTTTCTCCGCAGTTTTCAAGAAGGCGTTCGATACTCCGTAGACGATGATGATTATAAAGCCATCTCATGTTTCAACAAAGCGATATCACTTAAACCAGAAAAAATAAAATTCTATGTAGCGAGAGGRGAATCTTTTCTTCAAATTTGTGACTTTCAATCGGCAATATTAAACTACAAAAAAGCATGTATTCTAGATCCTGATAACGACGAATACTATTCAAGGCTTGCRTTCATTTACTTCTTCCAAGGACAGTGTTTATTTGATCAAAAACTTTATAACGAAGCTCTGGAGTCCTTCTCGARAGCGGCAGAAATGAAGCCAGAGGTTATTGGATATCACACGAGAAGGTAAAACAATTATTGTTTAACGTAATAATAATAATAATAAATGCTAAAAATTTAAATATGAAATGGTTAGGAGTTGAAAAGCAAAATCTAGGGTTTTGAGTAGAGTAGGGGTTCACAAAATCATGACAGTCTTTTCAATGTATAAAGAACTAATTCAAATATAAGGGGGGGGGGGGGGGGGGGATGGCACCCTGTGACCTCTTTCTGTATCCTCCACCCTCCACAACTGGGGAGAATGCACACTCCAATCACTAAGCAAATTTTTGATTGCTTGAAATATTTCGTGTATTGACCTTACCATTGCTTTTTTTCTTTAGTGTTGCTTGTCTTTCTGCCCTTCAAAGGCATGGTGAATGCCTTGCTTTGATYAACAAGAGGCTTGAAGAAGACACTAGTAACCCAGATCTGTTTATAATGAGAGCAAGGCTACATGAGTTATTTAGAAATGTAAGTCTGCTAGAAAAATGTTAAAGAATATTGCATTTCCATACCTTTCTCCAGTTAAAAATTGAAGTTTGAATCCCAATGAATTTTGTTCAAACTTTTCTGTTTATTTTATTGCAGTCAACATTATGTTATTATGATGTGAAGGAYGCATTGCTTCTTGACCCAGAAAACGAAGAAGCCCAGGCACTGATGGCATCTTTGCAGAARAGAGGACAAGACAACAAACAACAGGTCAACCTTTATATCATACAAAAGAATATTCTCTCCTCTGAAGACATTGCTTCTATTTTGCCCTTATAACTATTTTTTGAAATCAAAGTGGATCAATGATTTTTTGATTGATTTTTCATTACTAGGCAGTACGACTTCTTCTGGTTGGTAAAGTTAAGGAGGCTCTAACCAAAATTTCCGTTGCCTTGGAAACGAATCCTGCAGTCCCTGAATATCACGTATTTAGGTATTAACGTTTTTCTTTATTCAAAAAAAAAAATACAAGAGTAACCAACGTTTTTGACCGTAGCTAAAATAAGTCACGTGACATTATCTTTCTACTGCGCATGCTCTTGGAGGATTTACATGTAGATATATTATTAATAGTGTTTGTTTCTGCAGAGGTGCACTCCACAGAMAAAATGCCGACTTCAATGCTGCCATTGATGATTTTCTTTTGGCGATGGACAAAGCAGATCACGACGAGTCTAACTCAACTTATAAAGAAGCGCAGAGACAACTTCTACTGTGTTATAATGACTTCGCTGTAGAGTGCTTTAGGTAAGCACTTGAAAAGAATGAAATGACGTCATGATAACGCCAGGCTAAAAATGAAGAGCGCGCACACAATATCCGAGTGGTACTTGCTCTCTCGTTTACCTAGATAATAGGGAAGTAATTTTACCTTTGGCAAACTTGTGATCTGTTTTTCATTCACAGTAAAAAATTTTACGACGAGGCCATCGTACTGCTGAACAAAGCAATCAAGGGAGAGAAGAACGAAAAGGGACTCTACCTCAATAGAGGAGGTATACACATATAATAATATTCAGATAGACGAYAAAAGGCGTCTAAGGTCGGTTATATAGGAGGGATTGATTACTCGTATTTTTTCCACCAGATTGTTTCTTCCGTTCCAACGAGCTTCACTTTGCTCTAGCCGACTACCAACAAGCCCACGAGATGGACCCRRCAGACATGTCAGTGTTGTCTCGCTTGTCTATCGTGTTCAACGAGTTTGGTATACTGGAGTATTACGAGCGGCATTACCTGGAAGCGATAGATTATCTCAGCACGGCTCTCCAGTATAACCCTAGAATTGCTGCTTATTACTTGTCTAGAGGAAGGGCCAGATACATGATTGAGGTAAGATACTCTCGTTCATATTTTCTGTTTGTGAATTAACCGAGTCTTCATAAAGGGTTGGAAAAACTTGTGGGGAGGGGGGTAAGGTGAGGCGTAGTTGGTGCGAGGTAGGAGATAGGAGAGGAGGCGCAAAAGAAGAATAAAGAAAATGAATAGTAATGTTTTATTGTCGTAATCTATTTTTGTGTTAAATAATTCGAATTTCACTGAGAGCATAAATAAGAGAGGGAAACTTCTTATATGGCGCGTGGCATGTAATTCACGGTTGTTCTATTTTTAGTAACGGATGCAGTTTAAATATATTTCATTGCTATGACTATCTCTACAGGATAGCGACGGTGCCAGAGAAGATGTCCTCAAGTGTCTGTACCTCGACCCCAACAACAAAGAAGTTATTTCCATATTCTCTCGTTTGTTCCCGGGGAAAACAATCAATGACGTCACAAAAGGGAATCTAGGCGTGGCCGCTGGACGTGCAGTCGAGGCGCATATCCGCAATACCTTTGGTCAGCAGCTTCCAGTAGTGCCACACAAGAAGAAAGGTATGTGAACAAAGTTTTGATGCTTGATAAGGATAAGGCGGGGAGGGATAGCAAGAAATCTCTTTTACACCTCGTTCGGTAGTACTGTTTGTTCATTGAAAATGGTCAACCATACCTTAGACTCTACAGTTATTTTTCCATGCCTTATAAAGGTAATACCTACAGAGAATAGGTTTTCAGCTCTCCCTCAACTGCCGGACTGTATAATCCTTCCAGTAAAAAGACAAGGACAAGCAAGATGGTGCACCATATTGATCGATACAAGAAAAACCAGCGCAAAATATCTTTAGTTTAAATTTATCCAACATGGCGGGTTTGTCTTCACTGACATGTCACTGATTCACMAGAACGCGCATTCTCTCGAAGCTTCTTACTTTTCGTGATATCATATGCTATCGCCACTAATTAACTGTCCAATTAATAAATATAAATATAATAAAATTAATCATTATTTTTTTGTAGCTTCCGAAACGGCTTCGAAATTTTCTGGAAAGTCCATTCTCCCTCCGATTCGAGACCAGTTTTTCCCAGAGATTCGTTCTTGCATGGAAGAACAAGAATTCCATATCAGTATAGTAAAAAATAAAAAGAAGGTAATTATGAATATAGTACGAGTGTAAAGGTAACATTTTGGGACGTGATATGTTTTGTCTARTCTTTAAAATATGTTCGCCATCTTCTGTTATAAAGCTATTCAGGGAGTAGGGGCGGCCCCTCCTTTCCCATACATATAGTCACGTGATAAGTTCCGCTTATCGATGTTCTGAAAATGGGTTTTTTCCTCTTTCAAAACCAGAACCTTTACAATAATCCCTTTTTTAATGCTTATTTTACTACGTTTTTTTCAGGCTTCGACAAACGTGAAAAGAGCGCTCAATGATCGACAGAATCTGTCATACAAAGGACCCATGGTAGAGTCAAAGATCCCTTACGTCCCACGTCCAGCAGTTAAAACGTGGCACTGGRAAACAAGCACGCGGCGGCGACCTCTTCCTAATGCTAGCTAGCGAGAATTCTAACCAAATATAATATCAACTATTTTAAAACCAATATATGACAAATAATGAGAGAAATGATGATGATAACAAATTGAAATATTAAGTTTAGATGTAATATATTWTTATCATAAATAAAAACGGGTTATCTAAAAATCTTAATCAATTACTTTGGGTGGAAAGCCTTTCCTGCAGGAATTCGTCAGTAAGATCACAAACTGCAACGCGTCCTGTAACTAAACGTTTGTCATTGTTGTCTTTTTCCTTGCTCTTTATTACTTTCGTCACACAGCCGTCTGTGCATTTCTGTTCTTTTTTGGAACTGATCTGATGAGATAGAAGGCGAATGACAGCCTTTAACTCTTTCCTTCGCGGCATCACCTTCTCTTGCTTTCATATGCCTTTCCTCAGCAGTTATGCCAGAACACTTCTCAGCCTCGGGTAGTTTGAGCTCAATCTTTCTTCTCATTATTTTGTCTTCCACGGCACTATGTGGAGACCCACTSGCGGGACTTTCTATTCCACCATTACCAGAGCATATGTCGTAGGTCCAACTTAGTAAATGATAACATTTCTCGGACCCCATCAAATTATCATTTGCTTCTCATACAAAGTCAGAGCTTTTAACAACAGATAATTCTTCTGACTATCCTCATACAGGCTTGTCGAATATCTCTCACTCTTGTCATATAAATAAARGGGTTTAAAGTAGAATTCAAACAGACTATAGTTTGAAATCCCCAAACTGCTGCTCTGTTTGGGTTTGGACGGGAAAGGATCGCGAAAACCCCTATCATCGGCAAGTAACAAATGAATATCACTGCTAATATRAAAAGCATAGTTTTGAATAGCTTTTTGTATTTGAGAACATCAATGACAGGCGTTGTGGAGTTCGCTCGAAGTTCACCGGTCGGTGTTGGTTGGATCTGAGCRCAGTGAATCGTCAACGATCGAAATGACATTGAATATGARCACAGGATGACAATTAGACACAATAAGAGTCCAATTCCACCAAGTAAAACGAGCACTGAAATATCAATGTTGAAAGGAAAAGCTAAAAGGCTTGCAAACGAGAAAATCCAAAGGAAGACAACAAGAATCCTCGTCCGACTCGACGTAACAACGACTTTATATCTTATCTTGAGTCGTATAGCCAGGTACCGGTCCACACTGATAGCAGTTACAGTCAACACTGAAGTCATTGTTAAAACTATCAATATCGCACCAGATACAGTCCGAACGTTGCAATACTTCTCTGCTTCTCCGTCCATGAATAATCCTATTGCTGCTACAAAAACTGGTTGGCCAATAAATCCTACAGCAACGTCGCTAAACGCCAAACTTGTCAGTAAAAGATACGAAGGAGTCTGCAAATAAGGTGTTGTGAGAATAGCTACGATGACTAGCGTGTTGGCAACAGCTGTTGGGATTGCCAAGATAGAGTTACAAGCACACAAGGCAAGGTAGTGGCTACGAACGATATTCTTTGATTCCAGATTAATAATACTGATACAAGTTGATGTCGGAAGGTTCATCTTGAGAGAATTCGACTGGATAGCTTCTGTGTAAGGTTTTCTTAATCTACGGAAGAAAAAACGCGATGCCGCTAGCGTGCTGTCCAAACTAATTAACCTTGATCATCGAATARTGTCACCTGCTTCACATATATTGGACGATACGATCATTACGACATCGATAAGGGCTGAAGGATTGGTSCAGCTGACCAGCAACTCTAAATTATCTTGGACACGAGACAAACATGAAAACACAAACGAAATTACACTTTTTCTAGGTGGAATTTGTAGCATTTCTTTTGTATTTCCGTGTTAGTTTCGTAMTCAAGAATATTTTCAAGGGTACATTTTTGTTGACAAGAACTAAATCTAATTTGAATAGAACTTGTATTCGAAGATAATTTTAGCATAAACTTAGCAGTTTAAAAGTTCAGTTCTTGTGAGCAGATGGATGTCAAACAACCGAGTGACGTCACTGCCGCAAATTTGATTTATTGCAGGAAATATCTCGTTAACTACTAGGAAAACTTCATAAAATACAAATAGAAAATTTTAAGCTTAAAACTATTGCTTCACCAAATCATATCGGTCCGGATGCAAGTTGTAGAATTCTTGATGGGGATATTCTCTTGTTTTGTAGAAAYCCGTACATGCAAATGTTCTTTCTCCCACGAATTTTCGTTTGTCATAAATCAGGACGCAATCCAAAGAAAACTTACTCGCTTATTATAAAAGCTTTATTGTCAAAAAATGGAAATCATCGCACTTRAAGTGTTACAGAAACCACTTCGGAAATATCCAGATGGCCTAACGCTTTTACAGTTAKTTCGGAAAGTTCAAGGTTCAAGTGAATTTTTAATAGATAAAATTTCAGGATATTGAGGAGTTCGACACGAAAAAACAAATGTATTCACTTGGTAGGACAGAAGTCCCTCAAAATAGGAAGGAAAATTATTATTTCTTTATTCTTGGTTTTCACGCGACGTCATCAAAAAACTAAAATTCAAAGTATCCACCCCACAAAACTGTTTAGTCGAATATTTTGTTTATAGCATTATAGGAAAAGTCTTAGCAAAATAATTTTGTATTATCGATGTTTGGTTTTAGATTTATTGTGAGTCCAATTCTGTCACACAATTCTACAAAGCATTAGAAAAAAATAGAAAAAAAATTTGATTGTAATAATACGTTTATAATTTAGTAGATAATTGATATTAACTTTATTTTTAAGACTATTATTGAAATTTTGAAATGTTTGCAAAATAAACATTATTTTTAACCTTCGTGATTTGGCCGCCATATTGATGGTTTTTAACCATTCCCAAGAGAATTAAATAACAAGACACGGCGGCCATGTTGGAGGATATAACAAATTAATTCATTGATAATTCTTTTGTTAAGTTCCTCCAACATGGCCGCCGTGAAAACCATCAATTGGTGTCCTTCAATGAGATGCCAAGATGGCGGACCCATACATTTCAACTAAATTATAGTCATAATCAATCGCTCGTATCTTCGTATCTAAAACTTCTTTTAGCTAGACATTAGGCTGAGATATGTAGTTTTCGCTACTCTTTCGGCCTGTGTAAGTTTTGTTTTATATAARTCCTTGCAAAATTTTTGATGACGTAGGTGAAAACCAAGAATTTTTTAATGTGCCTACGATTTCCTAGCAAAAAAAGAACAACGACAAAAATTGAGGTTAACCTATCGATTAAGAGTAATTTTACGTGCCTTGTAGTTGTGTTGTGTTTCAACATCTAGGTATGTATGTGTGCGTAGATGTACTTATTTCTTTTTCTTGGACCGTTTTCCTTCACCTGAAAATCAGAGAAATTGTCATAATAAATATAATTTTTTTCGCACCCTGTGAGCATTTTTTTTTGAAACCTTATCTCACAAAGGAAGAGAGTTTTTCAATGAGACTAAAACGTTCAMATCCAATATGCTTAATTTGTGCATTTTTTGGAGAGGAAGTGGAGGGAGAGAAATAAATATATGAATATATGATTAATGATTAAAGGAAAACTTTCTGAACATGTTCAACAACTGTTAGGTATACTTTTTTCAATACAACTCCAGTAAACTGCAAAGTCAGCCAACCCAAATATCTTCATT